TGCTTTAGAGCTTCAAGTGCTGCCTAAAATAAATACAAATTAATAAAACAAAATACTAAACAGAACATAAATAGCAGCTAGGACTACTGTAAGTTCTGTTTCTATTCCTGTTCCCATTTTTACACATACTATCCCCACTTTGTAAGCGTCCCACAACCGACGATAGCTTGCAAGACCTCCAAAACGCTTCTTGAAGACATACATTTTCCAGTGTGGTCTCACACTGCCTTTAAACAATATAGTTTGATTCATCTCTGATCCCACCAACCTGCCATTTCCTTTATTTTATCATTTTTTTAGATTTGGGATTTATTGGAGTTATAAAAACTTAAATTGTAGACGTTGATTGACATTGAGTTTTATTTTAAGAACGCAGGCAATGCTGCATCACTTGGCTAACATCTGAAGATAATCATAAGAACTGTAAGTGTATTTAGTCTACCCGACAACAGATATGTACAAAAGGAACCTGGTACCCAAATCTAAACATAAGACTGTATCCTGGGGCTGTTTGGTGTCCATGTTCGGCCTGTTTAATCTCCTGTCTGAGAAGCTAAAAGCACCACCTAACCTCCAATACACAAATCCGTCAAGGGCTTTTCAAAAAAAAAGAAGAAATTCCAGGCTGTCCCTTGTTTGCATAACAAGAGGGTCTGAGAAATTCAGCAATTGGAACACCACACTGTGAAATGCACCCAATCCACATCGCGTTCTTCTGCTCTGTCTGTTTGCTCATTAATTTTATAGTATTTGCAGATCCTGCAAAGCTGCTTTCTGCAATCCACAGTCCTGGGCCAGGGAGAAGGGGGACAGCATACATGACCCGGTGTCATTAGACACAGGCATTGTAGAGGGTCAGGGCCAGACACAGAGAGGCACACAGCCCAGGCTGAGCCAATGAGGAAACCCAGACAAGTGTAAATATCAGAGGGCACATAGGTGCAGATAACTGTCTGGAGGGTTCAATACCAGCACATCTGCTGTCTGTGCCTCTGGTTTGACTTGTCAACAACTGAAACTGTGCATTGTTATTTCCTTACCCAATAAAATCAACACTCACATACCCTTGTATCTGCACCAATTACTGCTGTCTGAATTCCGATAATTCCTGGCTGGTCTGAAACACTGCGTTTTTACACATGTAACTCTTGCTTTGAGTTCCAGGAAGGACACCATCTGCATGGAGTATGCATGTTCTCATGTATTCATGGGCTTCATCCAAGTTCTTCAGTTTTGTCCTATTATCAGAAAAACATAATGCCTGATTATAGTAGATGTAAACCCGAACTAATTGGCATTTAGTCCCTTTTTTGTTTTTACCCTTTATAATGTAACAATGTGATATACTTTTAGATTGTAAGCTCCTATGGGCAGGGCCCTCCTAGCCATCTTGTCTTGAAGTGCACTGTAACTTTATTGTCTTCCTTTTATTGAAAACTGTTAATATAATATAATATAATAATATACATGCAACAAATAGTCAACAGCTGTTAAAGTTTGACTTTTATGTCAATGGTTTTGCTTTGTATAAATCTATCTAGACATGTGCAATATGTCAAATGTGAATTAATGCACAAATGTTAAAACAAGTTAAAAAAAATAAACACCCTACCTCTGTGGACTGAACATTAGATAACAATTACATGAATTGCATTTTATTGATTTGCATTTAGATACTATTAATAATAAAAGTAAAACAGATTAAAATAAACATCATACCTGTATGAATTGAAAATTAAACGACAATTACATGACTTGCTTTCCATTGTTTTCGTTTAGATAATATTTATAATATTAGTAAGACAAGTTAAAAATTAAACACATTTATGGATTTAAATGAATTAACAATGACATACTTTTTGTGCCGTTAATTTTCATTTAGATAATATTAATAATAGAAGTAAAACAAGTTAAAAAATAAACATCATATACTTATGGATTGAAAATGACATGGCAATTACAAGAATTGTGTTCCATTGATTTTTACATACATAATATTTATAATAGCAGTAAAACAAGTTAAAAAAAATAAACATCTTACCTTTTTGGATTTAAAATTAAATAAGAATTACATGAATTGCATTTAATTGATTTGCATTTAGCTGATATTTATCATGTTAGTAAAACAATTTAAAATATAAACACCATACCTTTATGGGTTGAAAATTAAATAACAATTACATGAATAAGCCCTCAGGGGCACAGCCCTCCTTACAATCTTGTCTTGAATTGTATTGTGATTGTAATGTCTTCCTTATATTGTAAAGCGCTGCGCAAACTGTTGGCGCTATATAAATCGTGTATAATAATAATTGCGTTCCATTCATTTTCATTTTAAAAATAATAATAAAATAAGTAAAACAAGTAATCTAATGTCTGAAGTATTTCAGGCAGGAATGAACTGTTCCAGGTTCTGATAAATCACAGATGACATCAATCAAGCTTTGATCTCCCACATCACTATAAAGCAATCCTCTCTGTCACTGACTGTCACTTCAAAGGTATTTTTGCTGTCTTGAGCTCTCTTTATTGGCAATCAGAGAACATGGAATATGGTAGACTGTGCAGTGCTGGTATCACACAGTCTCATTTGTTTTCATGAAACTAGAAGCCTATTTTTCAAAAACATCAGTCCTCATTTTTTTATAGTGACGTTTATTTATATTGGGAATTGTCCCATACTTAGTCACAGACCAGTGTACAGCCTGAGCTATTTTTACATTTGTTCAAAAACTGCAAGGTAAAAATTTACCTTACAGCAAATTGAACCAGTTGGGTTTAAAATTGACTGATTCTGCATTGGACCACCTTGTGTGTTTGGTGAAATCAGCAGCAAATGTAGTGACTTGTGTCCAGAGCATAAACATATTCCCATGGGCAGAAAAACAACCCTCGTCTGAAGAAGTAATATACAAAAAAATCAATGCTTACACTATTTTCACAGCAGTCTGATGTAGGTTCCTCAACAGCCACCCAAGACACCAAGGGTATGATAGTAATGTGATTCTCCACTTTGTTAGCTTGTAGCACAGGAGTCTTGGGTTCATTTCTCAACACAGATACAGTTTGCATTAAGGTTCAGTGTCTTTGCTTCTCCAAAAGCCAAAAAACTTCTGGTAGGTTTTCAAGAGAAAATGGTGAGCTCCTTTGGGGTTAAACAAGGTCAAAGTGCCATGGCAAATAGTTTTATAGCTATATAACTTTAGCTTGTACATTATATTCATGTATATGGCTTATTCATTTCTCAAGCTTTAAAGCTATATAAATGAATAAAATGTTAAAATTATTGTTAACATAGGTGATGATATTATGTAACAAATACTTTTCTCTGCCTAGATAAATAATCAAAGCATAAGACAGATGCATATTATTTTCTGTGTATTTGGTCCTGACAGTAATTAAAAGAGCTGAAATTGTTATAAATAATATTATTATTAAGTATTATTAAGTATAAATACATTTATTTTTTTAAAGTAACCTTCATTAGTATCCCCTATGTGATATACAGACTTACCTCTCATGTAATGAGTGTTAGATCAGCCAGCAGACAGAAGCAAATGGCCAAGATGTATATCACGTATTGGGACAGAGAGGGGGAAATAAGAATTGATTTGTCACTAACATGTCAGCCAGTTCTTCCACTTCCTATAGGTGGAAATAATATGCTTCCTAGGTCCCCCTCTGGGAATTAACACCTAGCCTAGCAGTCTGGGCCATATCAAGAATTAACTATATGAGACAATGGCAAATGGCCAGTCGGACCTTCTGAATGTAATAAGACCGCTATAACCTAAAAATAAAATTCTACACTCTGCATATCTGTGTATACAGAGGACTACAGTAGCTGGAAATGTAGGAAATGTCTATTGTGTTTAAATCCCTTAATGCAGCATAATCTTTAACACTTTATCAAAAGGACTCGTAACTACAAGATATTTGTCATGTGCCACAAAACCACATTTACATATGATATGTACCTTACAGCTGAGTTTTTCTTTGGACTTAACTACATCTAAATGAGACCTTTAATGGCCAACTAGATAAAAAGATCTTTAATTAAACTCTTCCTCATCCTTACCTCTCTCTCCCATATTCCTGTATATGTGGTATGTAACTCCACAATGCTTATCTCCCTTTATCACCCTTTGATACAAATTTATGTGATAAGTTATTGCTTGTTGTGTAGTTAAAAAAGGTTATAACACAGCAGACATAATTTAAAATAGAAATAAATAATACAATAAATAAGTAAACTTAATTGCACATATGTCCAAGGTCCACATATGTCCTCTTCTACCTCGATAAGCCGTCACAGGCAGGGCCCTCCTTACCATCTTTTCTTAAATTGTATTGTGATTGTAATGTCTTCCTTATATTTTAAAGCGCTGTGCAAACTGTTGGCGCCATATAAATCCTGTATAATAATAATACTTTTATGGAAAAATGTATAAATATATATATA